AAAAAGAATGAATGTTAGGATGTGCTTTTGGATGAGCTCCACAATGACAGAACATGGTTTTCCATTCCTGAAGTAACCCCTGGTTCTTCATATCACCTTAGCAAGTTTTTAACTTTTTTTGTTCCTCTTTTCCTCATCCCCAGAGAGTTACATTTGACTGAGCTGTCTGGAGCTTTCTGGAGTTTCATGACCTAACAGGAACAGAATGCCATTTTATTTTTTTTCCTCTTAGTTACCACTAAAAGCAGTTCCCTGGTCTAGATCATGGCAGGAATTTCAGGGACAGCTGTGCTGGCACCAGAGAAGAGGCAGCAGATCAGCGTGACACAAAGCAGGGGCAGGGCAGAGCGGGAGGAAGGTCCCAAGCAGTATCAAGAATTCATTTTGCTGCAAAATGTTTTTCAAAGCCAGTTACAATCCCAGAGAGGGCTCAACACTCCTGGGGAGGGAAGAGGAACCCTTTCCCAACATGCATTCCCTGCAGCCTTCTTCTGGTTGGCCCAGCCTAAGCATGGTTTGTAGTTTCTCAGAGTCATGGTTTCTAAGCAGACAGTACAGACAAAGATTAAAAGCAGCTTTAAAAGGGAAAGAGCATGGGAGCTGAGTTTAAAGGGAGAATTAACTGGGTGCTGCAGGAGAGGGTGGGGTCAGAATTGCATCACGAGGCAATTTCAGCCCAGTCTGAAGGGAAGGGTGAGAACCCAGCGCTGCTCACTCGAAGCAATGACAGATGGCAGCCTCTTCCTCCAGACCTTGGATTGGGATGGGGAAGGGTGGGGCAGAAAGAAGGGAAGGGTGCAGTTTCCAGAGGCTGCTGAGTCGGCAGAATATTGAGCAAGGTGAGTCATGAGGTGCAGGCAGCAGGAATTTCCTGCACTGCTTAAGACGTGAATGGGGAGACAGGGGTTGGAGAAGGGAGCTCAGGGAGCAAATGCTTGGCTTTACAGAGTCTCTCCTGGTATCCTAGCAAGTGTCAGACGGGACGTCACCTTTCCTGTACCTCAGGCCTATTTAATTTTTCTTCTCTCTTTATAGGCCTTTCTTGCTGTATTGGTTTGCTTGTATACTGTATAACATAGTACTATAATGTTGATCAAAGTTAGGGAAAAGCCTCAAGAAACCTGCCTTACTTACATCTTCTGGTGATCTCACCTAAGTGTCCTTCAAGAAAACCCCACAAAACAGCAAAATTGCTGTGAATCAAGAAAAGAAGAAACTACTTCTCTGGAGTGTGCTTGTTACTGATCCTGCTGACAGTGTGAATGCCCTGCACCCTGGTGTTCCTGAGGTAAGAGAATAAAACCTTCATTTCTTCTCCCTGCTCTGCTGCGTCTACAAGTTTTTCTTGAACTAATGGTCCTGCTTGGAATCTTTTGCCTGTGAACAGGCTTCTCTTGGTTTATCTACCGGCTTTTTAAAATGTGTTTTGTTCTTTTGCACTTTGTTTATTCCTCAACACAAATGTCTGAGCTTTAAAGCATCGTTGTAAGGTGGTCATACCAAGCTAGACTGAGCACATCAGAAACCCTTTGTGTGAACGACAGAGTAACATCCACCCAAGTGAATTATGTGGTTTTTTCTCCAAAGGATTTCCTAACAGGAGTCTCCTCCTTTGAGCTTTTATCACTGCATTCAAATGTAAATGATTTAGATGCTTTTGCAAGTTGTGGAATCACCTGTTCTCTGACAGATCTCTTTCAAGAGGTTTGAAAAGTCATGAAACCTTGGAGAAAAAGGAAATCTAGCTTCGGTAAGCTGCGTGGGTTTGTACAGAGAAAGCTCAGTGAGCATTATAATAATCACTGCTGCTTGCACTTGATTAGGACTTTATTACAGCACTCAAGGGCCGAGCCTGGACGCAGAATTTTGTGTGTTTGAAAACCTGAGAGCGGGACACCGAGAGATTACCACGGAGTTTTCCTTTGATGCCTGCCTGCTGCAGCAGTGACCCCGTTGGTACCGAGCTCTTGCTTAAATGCCAAGTGATTTCCACCAGGCAATAGAAAAGTCCCGAGGTTTCCTTCCCTGAGCCTCCCTGAATACACAGATTACCTAACGAGCTGGCGTCTCTACCGCCCTGCTTAGGAGAGCGGAAAGTGGGAGGTCGAATCACCCTGCTCGCTTTCAGTGCCAAACACAGGGAGCCTTTGCGTGCACACAGCACCTCAGGAAACCCAGAGAGACCTGGGGGAGGAACAAAAAAAAAAAGATATTTGAGCACACAGCGGAGCCGATCAGGACTATTGACTATTGACATCAGGGTACACGGAGTTCTTTGTGATGACTTTTCTACCCTTTATCTCATAAGCATCGTTCGTGAAAGGTGTTTTTTTTACCGAAGCCCTTCATATCTTTTTGGTTTCTCATGACTCGATACCTCCCTTGCTGCAGCACAGAACTGCAGAAGGGCATCAGTGCGTACTAGAGACACAGGAATTATTTCAGCTACTGCCGTTTCTGGGCTGAATCAGAGGCTGGGTTGTTTTTGAAACGTCACACTCGGTGTTTGACTAGACTGCAACACCCACCCGGAGCCCGCCGCCCTCCTCCACGGGGAGCGAAGCACAGCACACGCTGTTAGCAGGAGGAAAGGCAGGGCAGGGTACAGAAACTCCGGGTTTGGTGACTGCTTTGGCGGAGTTAGGAGACCTGCAATGCACGTCTTGCAAAGACGAGAAGCAGCATTGCAGCTGTTCTTGTCTTTTTTCCCCTCCCTCTGGATTTTTTTAAAGCATTCTTAGCATTTCTGCTTTCTAGCTGAGGCTGGGTTCTTAGAAATCTGAGGAATTATCATCACTTTTTCATTGTTGTTGGTTTCCAAAATTTGCTTATGCTCCTCTGCAGGCTAAATATGTTACTGGTTTGTTTTCAAAGATTAATCCGGTGTTGAGTCCCCAACCCCCTGCTGCTGTTTCAGCGCTGTGGCTCTCTATTTTGGCTGCTACACCACAGCTTGTTCTTGTTGCTGCTCACAGCTACATCTGTTGATGGGCTGGGAGCCATCTCCAGCTATGCAAATGCAGGTCTTGGGAGCACCTTCTCCAGATTTTAATCCTACGCAGTTAACTTCTCCTGGAATCCAGGATCTCTGTGGAGGTGCCAGATAAACCTGCTGTAACTTGAGTTGGTGATGTTCTTCCTCATGTGCAGAAGGCACAATGCTTTTCTGGACTGAGCTGTGGTTCTGTGTTTGTTTTTAAACTTAACTACCACGGCTTCATGATTTTTGTTTTAAATGTGGCAAGCTCTGTAAGCATTGGCTAAAGACTGACAGATGTAGGATATTTAAAATTCACATGGAACAGCATTTCATTACCTTTGGTTTATTTACCTTTGATTGAATAGCTTTCATTACCCTTCTCATCTCTCCAATACTTTGTCAATCTACCTGATTATATCTCTGTGTTCAGATTCTGCCTTTCTGTTCTACTGCCAATCCCCATCCTATGTACTTTACAGTAAACTTTATCCCATTTCACATGCTCATAAAATGACCTTAATTTTCCAACTCTGCTCTAAAGGCTTCTATGTGATTGACAGTCAACCTGCTGAGATTTCACCTCTCCCCTTTTACACATCCATAGGTTTAGACTGGGTATTAGGAAAAAATTCTTTCCTGTGAAGGTGGTGAGGCCCTGGCACAGGGTGCCCAGAGAAGCCCCATCCCTGGAAGTGTCCAAGGCCAGGCTGGTGGGACTCTGAGGAACCTGCTCTGGTGGAAGGTGTCCCTGCTGGGCAGGGGTTTGGAATGAGATTATCTTTGAAGTTCCTTCCAATCCAAGCCATTCTCTGATATTTCCTAGTCCCCTTTGGTCACACAGCTTCTCCCCGCAGCCGGGAAGCCTCTTCCCTGCCAAGAGAGATCTCAGGCCAGTTTGTTCTGGTCCATTCTCTCTCCTCCCTGCACAACGCGGTGTTTTTCACTCCTTTTCCAGCGGCGCTGGATCGCTTTCCCCGTCTCCTTCCTGCCTCGGCCGAGCCGAGCAGTGCCACTCCTGCCCGGCTGGCTCCCCCGCGCCCTGCAGCTCTTCCCGAGGAGCCTCGCTTCTCCCGTTCCCTGTGCTCCGTGTCCCGCTTCCCCGCCGCCGTGCCCGTGAGGGGACCCGCGGTGCCCGTGAGGGGATCCTGCGTGCCCGTGAGGGGACCTGCAGTGCCTGTGAGGGGATCCAGTGTGCCCGTGAGGGGACCCGCAGTGCCCGTGAGGGGATCCTGCGTGCCCGTGAGGGGACCCGCGGTGCCTGTGAGGGGACCCGCTGTGCCCGTGAGGGGATCCTGTGTGCCCGTGAGGGGACCCGCTGTGCCCGTGAGAGGATCCTGCGTGCCCGTGAGGGGACCCGCGGTGTCCGTGAGGGGACCCGCCGTGTCCGTGAGGGGATCCGCCGTGCCCGGTGCCAGCGGAGCCCTGCCTGCCCCGCCCTCCGCCTACCTGCAGTGCCTGTGAGGGGACCAGTGTGCCCGTGAGGGGATCCTGCGTGCCCGTGAGGGGACCCGCAGTGCCCGGTGCCAGCGGAGCCCTGCCTGCCCCGCCCTCCGCCGGGGCCACCCTGCTCCGGCTCTGCTCCTTCTCCAGCGCCAGCTGGGAATGTCCCCGCCCCGCTGTGGGACACTGGTGCCGCGGGGATTTGTCCTGGAGCGAGGCGCGGGGACCGGCTCCCGGCACTCCCCGCTGTCCATGGAACCGCGGATTGGGATCACGCCATTCCAGCGGGGATGCCTGGGGGATTCGAACCGGGATTCCCGGGGGATTCCAGCCGGGATCCCTGGAGGATTCACGCTGGGATCCCCGGCAGACTCCAGCCAGGATCCCACGGCTCCCCCGCCACCGCCCCTTCGCGCCGGGGGCGGCGGCCGCCGCCGCTCCGCCCTCCCCGCGTTGTTTGTCCCCCGGCGCGCTCCGTAGCGCGTGCGGCGGCGGCGGCACGAGCCGGGCCCCGCCCCGCCCCTCCCCGGCGGTGCGGGTGCGCGAGGAGGGCGAAGGTGCGCACGCCCGCGGCCGGCCCCGCGCGCGCGGCAGCGACTCGCAGGCGCCATGGCGGCCGCTCGCTGCAGCGACATGGCGGAGCCCCAGCGGCGCCTTCCCGGGCAGGCGGCGCCCGCCGAGGAGGAGGAGGAGGCGGAGGTGGCGGCGGCCGCAGCCGGTGGGGCCGGATCCTCGTCGTCGTCGTCGCCGCCGCCGCCGCCTTCGTCCTCGGCCGCGGCGGAGCCGGAGCCGCTGCTGCTGCTGAACGGCGAGGCGGAGAGCATGTCGGAGCCGAGCCCGGAGAGCGCCAGCCAGGCCGGGGACGGGGAGGACGAGGACGAGGAGGAGGAAGAGGAGGAGGAGGGCGGCGAGGAGGAGGAGAGCAGCCTGGTGGGCAGCAGCAGCAGCAGCACGAGCAGCGGCTGCTGCAGCGACGAGACCCGCTCGCCGAGCCCCGGCGGCGGCAGCGAGGCCGACGCCAAGGAGGAGCCCAAGGGCCCCCGGGGCAGCCAGGAGGACGGGCCGGGCCGCGGCGGCGGCGGGGGCGGCAGCAGCTCCAGCAGCGTGTCCAGCGGCGGCGACGAGGGATACGGCACCGGCCCCGGCACGGGCGGCGGCAGCAGCTGCGGCAGCGCCACGTCGGGGGGCCGCCGGGGCAGCCTGGAGATGTCCTCGGACGGGGAGCCCCTCAGCCGCATGGACTCGGAGGACAGGTCAGTGTCCGGCCCTGCCCGGCCGCGTCCCCGCCTCGGCAGCCCCCGCTGCCCGGGCGCCGCCCCGCTCCCGGCCGCGGGGCTGTCACGGCAGCCACAGGTTTCCCCGGCCAACTTGTGCCGGGCCCCTGCTCCTCGGAGCCCCCCCGGCTGCCCGGCCCTGGTCGCGGAGGAGGGGGCGATCCCCGGCCGTCGCCGCCGATCCGTGAGAGCCCCGAGCGGCCCCGCCGGGCGCTGCCGCCTCCTCCTCCTCCTCCTCCGGGGCCTCTTTCCTCGGAAGCTGCGGATTTTTCTCACATGGTGCTTTCGGGGTTCTTCAGGGCTGTGTCTTGCGGCAAAGCGCAGGTGGGGTGTGCTGAAGATTCGGGATGGGAAATGCATCTCTGGATGCGGTTTTACCTGCGCCCGCAACAGGGGCTCTGCTCTAGAGGGAGAAAACCGAGTGAAAGCCTCTTAAAACATGAGGGGGAAAACCCGAGTTTGCTAAAATAAAAAGGAGACTAGCTTTTCCTGCATTGCGTGTGCACAAGTAATAATCGTGCACGGTGTGAAGTGGGGCTCGGAGTCGTCTTTGAATGAGTTCTGTAATTGTGGATTTCAGAATCTGTAAGGATGAGTTCTTGAGCTTTCGTACTGTATGTTAAAGCTGCACATTTTACCAAGATTCTAGCTCGGTTCTGGTGAAAAGGCGCAACCGAGTTCTCACACATGGTTGAATTCGACCATTCAGGTCTGTTTCAGCCTACTGAGTCAAGCGTTTCAAAGAACACAGCTTATGTAGTAGCTCTCTTGGATGTTGTATGCAACAGTTTACTTGAAAAACTGAAAATAGGGTGGGAAAAGGACGTCAAAAGAGTGTGAAAATGCTGTGTGCCTCTTGCTAATTAATCCCTTCAAACAGTTTAAGAAACTTGTACGATTTTTCTGTATGTTTAGCAGAAAATGTATCAGACTTCCCTGCTAGAGTTACACTTAAGTAACAATTAGAATTTTATTTGTATTTTCTTAAGGTAGTTTCGCTGTTAAATGTGGAGAATTACGTGGTTCGGTCCAGAAATGTACTTTGAATATATATATGTTAGATCAAAATCTTTGTAAGTGTACAAGTACCCTTATTTCAGAATGAAAACGGGGCATGACTAGACCTAACCTCGAAGATTAAAACCAGCCCAGCAAACCCCTCGTGAGTCAGTTCCCCAAAACCATGTAATTGGCCTAAAAGTCTTAAGGAGACAGAAAAAAATTCAGGGCTTTGGTTTCCGTCAGACTTCTGAGACTCATAGAAGTCACATTTTCTTTCTTCTAAACTTGTGCGAGTGGAAAAGGGGTGTGGATGTTTGGGTTTGTTTGTAGGTTTGTTTGTTTTCTGTTTTTTTCAAAAGCTGAGATTTTCCGTGCAATTGACTAAGTATGGGAGTAGACTTCTGGAAAAACACCAGGTACATAAAGGAGCTTTAAGATCACAGTTTCTTGTTTTTCATAGAGTGAAAGTCTAAATCTAATCCTGATCTTATCCAAGTGCGTGGCAGGTTGAGGAAATAACAGAAATAACTTGCAGGGGTTTTCTGGAAGCAGCGTCATTTCGCCGTGCCCTCCAGAGCTGGTTGCTACTTTCTTTCTCTGTCATTGTTCTCGTGCTCCTCTTGCTGTAGGTGGTAAAATCCACGTGCGTGGGTTCTTGCTCCTTCCCGTTACCACCAGGAGTGGGACTCTTTGTGTTTAGTGCTTTAAATAAGGACTGTGCCTTGTTTTTAATCTTTGCAAAGTTTTCTCTTGACCTGCCAGGATGGAAACCTGGGGTGTTGAGAGTGTGTTTTGTGCTGTAATTCCAAGGCCTGCTTGTTGAGTTGGTGGGAGGAGAGCAATGCTACCGAGAGTGCAATCTGTCCTTCCTGGGGTTGGAAAATTTCGTTTGGTGCGCACTCTTTGCCGCAGCGTGTTAGAACGCTTTATTATTTTTGTCACACGTAGTCCAGCAAGTTGCTCGCTTGACGTTGCGATCCAAACGATTGCTGCTGCTTGGAAGGCAGCCACAGCATAATCCTGTGCCTTTCAGATGATCACACAGACGAGCAGAGTGTTGCAGAAGGTGGGGATGTGCTGAAGAGTTAGAGTGTGTAAATTGGAATAGTGAAATACCAAGGAAGAGCTGGAAGCAGTTTAGACTGAATATATTGAAATCCCGAAAGAATAAATAATTCGTTGATTTGGTCACCTCTGAATTAAAATGTAGGTTCTGTGACTGTTAGAGAACGATATTTTGTTGTTGTTTAAGTGTTGTTTTTTATGGGGTAGTTTATTGTACAGTACTTCATGACCTTTGCTGACTCCCTGTGTCTCCGAAGTCCTGAGGAACTCGGTGTCTGACTCTCAGCGTGTTGTAAAGTAAGATTCCCTGGGGAGGGAGTAGAGAGAAAAGGGAAGAGATGGAACTAACAGGCTTGACTGTTCAGAACCTGGGTTTAGCCAGAGGAAGCTGGTAGGAGAGTGTTCTCAGTAAAGACTCTCCTGCTGTCAGCAGGTTTGGTAACATTCACATCATGCCCCTGGGCTTGGGATTTTTTTTCTTGCTTCCTCTTTAGAAAATTTGAATGAATTAAAGGGTGTGGTAAGAAGACCTGAATTCCATGAGTGATCAAATTCCCATTTCCTTGTGCATGTTCTTTATCGTTCTCCACGTTGTGTTATCTCTGACTTTTCCTTTATATCAAATACAAATGAAGCAGATGAGGAGGAAAGTCTTGCATATGGTCAAAATAGAGCTACTGTTCAACAACTTTTATTTTTAATATTTTATTGTGTTTTGAGAGTATCTGTTGATAGAAAAAAATAATTTGTAGGAAATTGGTCAGTATTTATAATAACATGAGAAATAAATATAGAGGTGACTATCGATGCCCTGAAATTGAGGGTGAATTTTAACCCTCCATTTCCATGCCTGCAGGTGGATAGATAAATTTGTACTTTGTTACAACATGCTTATCTTCCCTCCCAAAAAACCCAGAAAGGAAAAAGCAAAGCCCAGACTGACGCCTGGGATAAATAACCAAGGTGGCATTTTCAGCACAGCAGGAGAGTTGAGTGCAGTAACTCTGGGACTGGCAGGTATCTCGTTGATCTGTACTAGTTCCATTTTTTTTCCCTGGGAATTGTGCTAAGTTCCCACTCTTGTGCAGGAGTTTGTCTGTGACTTTTGTGAGCAAGCTCAGATCAGCTGGCTGAGTAATAATAGTCTGCATTCGAGCCTAGTGATCCTCTGGATTTACAGTTGGAACAAAGACTATTTATCAGCACGTGAATGCTGCTCATTTTCTTGTGCCTCTCCCCAACTTGAGACCCGTGCTGAAAGGATGGATGTGTTCCTCTGGAGCTGCTAGTCTTGCTGCAGTGCTGAGAAACGTTTGACAGGACTTGAAAAGAAAAAATAATGGTTCAGTTAACTATAAACACTGAAGCTGGACCTAAGCAAATGCGTGGATTTGGTTATAAACCAGCTGAGCTGAGCGTGATGGAGATGCATCTGCAGCTCCCTGCTGTTGTTACTGCTGAATTATGATATTTTCTTACAAACACTTAGTTTACTGAAATAATTTAAATATTGTTTACTGGAACACTTATTATGGAAATATATTTAAATCTGAAATAGTTTCATCGTCAGATTTTGTTTGATTTAGAAAGCAGTGGTAGGTCTCGCAGTTGGAAGTTGTTGAGCAGAAATTCGAGTAGCAAATCTGTATGAAGAGCTTTTTGTTCACCCTGTGAATTTGTCTTGTGTCTTCGTGCTGTCACCTGGAAGCTACCTCTGCTTTACCATTCTCACATTATCTTTACTCCTCTTAGCAGTTTATCCTTTGCTCCCTCCTCCTGGCTGGGCAGTGAGCATGGAAAAGGTGCGTTTGAGCTGCAGGATCAGCTGTCTGCTGCGTGAGCTGATTGATGTGCTCCTGGGCCAAGTGTAACAGGTTGTCTTTGGAACTATGTGGTAATCTTTCCCTTAGGCACAGCACTAAATAATGCCCATCTTACAGGCAATTTTCATGAAACTTGCAAGGCTTTATTTTCTTTTGTTTTGTTTGTTTGTTTGGGATTTTTTGGGAGGGGACAACCTTTTCATGTTTTTTGTTACTCACCAACGAGTCAGTTATTGTGGGGCCCTGACTCAAGGAGTACTTAATAATACTCAATGACAGTTTTTGCTCTTAACCACATAAGACTTGCAAAATACTTCTAGAAATGTTATTATTCTGTTCCTATTTAATAGATGAGCAGTTTTGAAAACACATGTCAGATAAGTTTTTCAGTAGTAAACTTTCCTGTGCTTCAGATTATGATGTTTTTTCATTTTACTGAGTGAAATGACAGTGTGGAACTAATGGGTTGAAAGATAAGAGGTTTAGACATGAAAATTCCAGGCTCTAGCCTGAGTTTTTTTAAATCTCATGTAAAATGAAGGCCTTGTCAACCTTTAAGACGTATGCTGATTTAAAAAGACTAGTTTTAATTCTAAGCTTTATTTTGTCTATTTTTTAAAATCTTAAAAGTGAAGAACTTTGAAGATTGGCTTGGCAGTGGCACTCAAGTTGTATGAGTGACATTTATGAAGGCAGACCAGTAAATTTAAAACACAATCCTGAGGACATGTGGTACTAATAGGTGTGTTTCATAGATCCATGTGACCAGATTAAAAAGTGCTTCAGGCCTCTCTCTGCTGCATAGTCTCACTTGTTCCTATGCAGGAAGTGAAGAATCATTCATTAGCACTTATGGCAAGGTGGTTAAGTCGTTAAATATTTTTTTTTTGAGTGTGTGTAATATTGCCATGTGAACTACACAGAGGTTTACCCGAGTTTCAGAAATTCTGCTGAAAATTGTATTTGCTGTATTTCTAACTGCATTTATTGTTGCTGTAGTTATTTGCTTTCAAATTGCAAAATAAACCCCTTGTTTCTGTAATGGTTATGTTCAGGCCTTTCTGGCACGGGAGAAAATAGCTTTTGATG